AGTCTTTTATTCATCATCAAAACAGCTATAAATCAGGTGGAACAGCAGTTGTCGTCCTGTCCTGTTTCTTTCACATTTTTGCAGGCCTGCAGAAACAAAGCATGGTCATAGTTATAGGAAGCGAAATTTCTTGTTTTTTTTTTCTTCTAGGAACAGGCCAAAATCAATGCGCGCGTGGACGTCATCCATAAAATTTACTTGGTGTGGCCTAATCTCCAAGCAGATGTTTATGACTGGTTTATTGAAATCCCAAAAGGCACAGTATCGCAGAAGCCCTTGACAGGGGGACTGATCTTTTACAAAACTACAGCTGCAGTAACTGCTAGTGTACAAAAACCACAATCCACATAAAGTCACTTGCCACTTATAAGATATAACGTGCTGGTTAAAATATTACATTTTACTTAATAATCAAGTAGAATTCTAGAGACCAATATAGCATTTATAAGTAACCGGTCCCATATAAATTAATCGGTCACATACGAGGCACAAGTCACAAACATCAATTTAAAATGTTGAGGTAGAAGCCTGAGTTTTTTCGACTGTCGGAGAATCCAGATTCGTCCTCCACCCCAGCAGATTTCTGTGAAACTGCAACATTTTTTTTTTCTAAGTATTGACCTTGGTATTATTCTAAAGTAGACCTAATATCATGATTCTTGGTTAGTTGATTGTTCTGTAATTTGGGCACCAGGAACAACTGTAATGCCCTTGCAGCTTTCTCTGGAACTGCAGGTGTGTTTTATGAAAGATTATTTAAGAAGTAAGAGCTGTATTTCGCTCACTCACTCACTGTGTCGAGCTTCCCTCGGTTCCAATGCATTTATGCAATTATTTCAATTATAATTTCAAGAATTCCAATTATTTCAAATTAATGCTTCGATTCCTTGCCCTGCTAATGTACCAGTACCTCCCATATGGTCTAGTGGTTAGGATTTGGCGCTCTCACCGCCAAGGCCCGGGTTCGATTACCGGTGTGGGAATGCAATCTTTTTCCTCCTAAAAATTTCATTACTTACTAGTACTTTACCAGTTACGATACCGTCCCTTAAAAACACACTGGTCCCCTAACCAATGAATGAAACCTTTTATGTTGTAGTTTCCGCTGTAGTTTAATGCCGATAGGCTGTAGTCTCTACCAGGCTTCGGGAGGCGGCTGTTAAGAGTAGAAATTGGCCATATAGACAGATATTAAACATGTCAGGGGAGTTGGTTCGCTAAAGAGTACGTAGTTTGCGGCAAACTCTATAGCGAACCAGCTAACAAACACCTCTGACATGTTATCCGTCTATATCAGTATATGGCCAATTTCTACTCTTTTCAGACGCCCCCAAAGCCTGGTAGAGGCCAGATAGACCGTACTGTATCCACACAGAGGACACAGCCTTTCTGTTCAATTCCTAATACTTTCATCTCTGTTTGATTTTTATCAGTCCAAACCTATGAAAGGAGAGAAGATGAGCTGTCAATGTCAGAAAGGCTGATTCATGCCCTGATCCTGACGGTAGAACAAGCGGAAGTCTTTTCCTTGATCTTGTGGGAAAAACAGACATCTTGTTTCATAGCCTCTTCCAGGCTTCAGAGGGGGTAAGAAAGAATAGCCCTGAAAAAAAACAAGCCCTGAACAAGCGGACGTCTTGTCCTTGAACTTGTGGGAAAAAACAGACGTCTTGCTTCATAGCCTCTTCCAAGCTCCAGAGGGGGTAAGAAAGACTAGAAAGGCCAACATTTGCTTCGGAGCAAATGTAATATTTCACTCCATCTCCCTCCCCATACAAAAATAGAAGATTCTGAATAAATCATACTGCAATCATACAAGGACAAGCTTTTTGAATCTCGACAGATATTTACAAAAATGGCACTTGGCCATTATCTCCCTTTTTTTTACAAAGATACAACGACAAGCACTTTAAATCTCGACAGCTTTACTTTACACTTATCTCAATTTCAAAGTTACATATTGCAGGTATCTAAATACTACTAATGACGAAATTGCAACTACTACTAACGGTAGCAAAATTTTCACGGTCTGAGAAACATGGACATGTTCACGGAACTATATATTCACGGTGGTGACAGTTGCAGGAAAAAGAAAGTCCAGGAATTATTTCCTAACTGTAAAGATAAGTTCACGGTACAGAGGTGACAGTGAAAACCGTGAACATTGACCTCCTGCTTGCGTTACGTTGCGGTACAGTGAA